CTTTGGAAAAAATCACGTTACCAACCAAGCCCTCTGCACTGCTCTGAACCTAGCCAAGAGCCCCCTCCCCTCTCATGCGTTTCTTGATGAACTGCTCCTAGAAGCAATTTCTGACAGCATCGATGAATGTAGTCTTGATATCAGCACTATACCGATCTATATGGCTGCAACCGCATTACCTGATCTAATGCTGCTGCGTACCTGATCTATGTGGATGCAGCCGAAATCTCCCATTGTTTTCACGTTCCCTGCCCTTGTCACTGCTTTGCCTCCCATCAGCAGATCACAATACCTGTCACCATCCTGATCAGGCTGGTAGTAATATTCCTCAAGTAACGTATAAATGTATGATGCACAACTAGAGTATTTTATTAGTAGCATTTTTTATATGCCTGTATACTAACGTAATGCTAAAAGTACTGGCAGAGTCCCCGGCAAGTTTGCAGCCCAGGCTGTTGCAGCTGTTCCACCAGCAGCACCCGAGTCAGATCACCTTGCAGAAATCCAAGCAAGTTTGCCTTCATGCTTTTTGGACTGCGGCACAGGTACATCCTATCCTGATCAGGCAACGGTACGAATTCTGTTCTTTTCAATACACCAGAAAAGCCGTACCTCAGAAATCTACACCTCTGAAAGCATCCTCTAAGCACCATCAGTGTAGCTGCTGTTCAGCCATCGTTATATAATTCGACTAAGTTTAGTGCGTTAGTCTGGTCAACTGTGCCCTTTCCTTTCCATGCCAAATCCTAACCACAACACGTTGGCTAAGCTTGCCTAGACAGGAGAGAACCAATTACCCACCTCCAGCCTTTGGACTTGATTTAATTTTAACAGCAAGCTCTGCAAAGTTCTTTCAGTAGTTCCGGGCTTGACAGGCAACTTTCTGGCCGGAGCTATACAGACAGGCAAACCTGCTGGCTGGAGTCACGGCTTCTTTGGCCAAGCAGGTCATGTATTTATGGGAACATATATTCCCATATCTTTATGGGAAACATCATGAGAATCCTTTATAGACACATTTTAGTTGACTGGTGATCAGTCACAGTGCCTACCTGAAGATGAAACCGGTCCTTGTCCCTCTCTGAAACCATACTCCGCAGGATAGCTATTTCTTCCCTCAGGGTCTCACTGGCCATTTCACTCTTGGTAAGGGCAAGAGTCAGTGCTCGTGCCTTCTCTTTCCATTTGTCTTCTCCGCTTTCATTCTGCTTCAAAATAGCAATCACGCGCTCCAGTTCTTCCCCCTTTGCTTTTCTCTCATCTTCCAATTGTTGCGTTAGCTCCTTCTGCCTTTTCAAGAGACAGCCTCTCTCCTGGAGACCTTTCCTCTTCTCCGCTTCCTCTCCCTCCCATTTTTGGAGCTTCTGTAGGGGGTCCCCTCCATCCTTCCATCGCAAAGCTGATGTTAATTCTTGCAGGAGTTGACTCTGCCTCCTAAGCTCTTCTTCTCTCCCTGTCAGGCTCTTCTCTAAATACCCGACTCTCTCTCTCTGGTACTTGATCTCTTCATCCTTCTTTGACAGAGTCTGCTGAACATGCTGGAGATCTTCCCGAAGACCTCTTATTTCCTCTTCTAACTCTTTTTGCTCACCTTGAGCCTTGGTCTCTCGTTCCCTCTCAGGCAAGGCTTCTTCCAGGAGCTTCTCTTGCTCGCTGTGGTGTCTAACCTCTTCATTCTTCTTGGTTAGCCTAAGCTGGAGATTCTGCAAGGTCTTCAGGTCTTCTTCTTGGCGCTGGAGTTTTTGCAGAAGAGTTTCATTGTCTTCACCTCTCTTCCTCACCACTTCCTCAAGCAGTTTCACTTGCTTCTGGCACGATGCTAGTGCTACTTTCATGCTTTCTTCACGAAGCTGGAACGTGTTCATTTGCTCTGTCTGCCTGAGGAACTCCAAATGGTTCTTCTTCACTGTTTGGCTCATCTTCTCTAGATCCTGCTGTAGACTCTTGGCCTGCTTGCCTTCTAACTCCTTCTGCGCTTGAAGGTCCTGGACGTGCTCTTGCAAAGACGCTACCTCTTGATCTCTAGCTTCTAGAGAAGATTCAGCATATTCTAGTTTTTGCAGTATGGCTTTAGTCTGCATCGCTGCCTCCTCCTTTTGCTGTTGAAGCTTAGAGATAGCCTCCTCCAGAACCTCTATCTTTTCTTCTCTTTCTTTCAGAGTCCGTTTTGTTGCTTGAAGATTTGTTTGCTCAGCTTCATGCTCTTCCTCCTTTTCCTTGCATGCCTCATGTTGCTTTCTAAGGGATAACATTTCTTGCTCTTGTTCCTTTAGTGCCACTTGAAGATGCTGCAGAGTTTCCTTCTGCCGTTCAGAGTCTTGTTCTTGTTTTTGGAAGGTCTCAATCACTTCCTTCTGAGATTCAATCACGAAATCCTTTTCTTCCAGTATTGCCTTAGTGTATTCTAAGTCTCTACGTAAGACGTTCATCCGTTCCTCTGTTTTCTCCTCATAGTTCCGTGTTTCTTGCTTTTGCATATCTATGAGTCTGTCCTTTTCTTTTAAGGTTTCTAAGGTCTGCTCCAGTTGGTCACGGACAGCCCTTAACTGCATTTCCATGACTTCTTCAGCTTCCTGCATTTGCTTTTGTTGTGACTCAAGCTCTTGATCTTTTTTAGATAAAGAAAGTGCCATCTTTTCTACTTTACCATGAAGCTCTTGCAGGTGCCCCTCTTGCTCTTCCTTGTACTGCTGGAAGAGCTTTAACTGATCCCTTTGAGAATCGCACTCACTCTCTCTGACCTTAAGAACTGCCCTCAGGTGTTCAAGGCTTGCGTGCAGAGATTTCACCTCTTCTCTCTCCTTTTCTAGTTCCCGGATCTGCTGAGTCTGAGACATAAGCTCTACGTTTTTCTCCTTCAAGCTTCCTTTCATATGATCAAGATCCATGAGCAGATTTCTCACTTGTGATGCACCGTGTTGTTCTAGAATCATTATTTTCCCCTCCTGGAATTTGATCTCCTGGTCTCTCTCCTCCAGCTCTTTGCTCATCTTGCTCACAGCAGCCCTCTGCATTTCTCGCTGCTTCTCCAGCTCCGATATCAGTTCTTGCTGGGATCTGATCTCCTGGTCTCTCTCCTCCAGCTCTTTGCTCATCTTGCTCACGGCAGCCCTCTGCATTTCTCGCTGCTTCTCCAGCTCCGATATCAGTTCTTGCTGGGATCTGATCTCCTGGTCTCTCTCCTCCAGCTCTTTGCTCATCGTGCTCACGGCAGCCCTCTGCATTTCTCGCTGCTTCTCCAGCTCCGATATCAGTTCTTGCTGGGATCTGATCTCCTGGTCCCTCTCTTCCAGCTCTTTGCTCATCTTGCTGACAGCAATCCTTTGGTTTTTTTCGTGCTTATCCAGCATTCTCATCTGTTCCTGGTGTAACTTGACTTCTCCCTCCCTCTCTGACAGGATGGCAGTCATACGAGTGAGATTCTCCTGCAAAGCTTTTACCTCTGCTGCCTCTTTCTGTAGCATCTGGATTTTCTCCCACTGCGTTTCCAACACCTCATTTTTAATTTTTAAAAGAGACAGTGTAGTTTGGAGTTCTTGTTCAAGGGAGTGATTCATATCTGTTGCTGTATTTGCTCGGGTTTCAGAGGCTGTGACTGAATCCTGAAGAAGTTTGATCTCCCATACCAGTTTTTCTTTAACTGCTTGCAGTCTGTCCCGTTCATGCTGCAAAACAGGGAGGAAAAGATTCAGTAACTCCATCTATATATGTTTGGTTTTCATACTAGGTTTGAACTCCTGCTCCAGTGGCAGTCAAGGGCTGAAGTTTGAGCTTTTAGTAGAAAATTCGAGCTATTCAGTTGGTTTCCCTGTTCAATGCAAGTTTTCTACTGTCACTGAAAAAAGATTTGAGAACTGTACTGTATTTGTCAAACTCTGTCCATAACTGATTTTTGGAGTCATTGTAAATGGAGAAGGAGGAAAATATTGATCATGTAAGAACAGCTGCACTGGCTCACATGTCTAGGCTAGTATCCTGTACGTAACAGTGCCTCCAAGTGCATACCCAGGGAAGAAAGCCTAAGAGTGGGGTAGACTTCCATGATACCTCCCCTTCCCAACCCCAGCACTGTTCCATCTTGTGAGAACTTTCACAAGTCTCCTCCTGACCCCATATAGACCTGCTGTGTTTACAACGCCCTTTGTCAAGGAGTTCTCTGCTCTGCTGTAAGTATAGCACCTCCTGTCACTTGCTTGCAGCACGGCTCTCACTACCTTCATCAGACGGCTGTTGCTCCTCTCTTGGAAAAGAGAGTGAACAACCGCTGCCCCTCTCCCTCTGCTTCTCAGGATGTTGTAGACCTTTCCTGCGCCACTCTTTAGGTTGCGTCTTTCCTAGCTTACTCAGCTACTCCCACCTTTCTTTTTGCCATTCTCTGAACCTCTTCTGGCTCTAGTGAGTTCTTTTGGGGAGGAGCTGCCAGCACTGCAGCCAGGATTTACAGTCCAGACTAAGCATGATTTAGGCAGTGGCATGACAGTGTTCTCTCTATTAGGAAGGGAAGAGAGACCAACCCAACATTCGATTTTCCTTTTTTTTTTTTTTTTTGAGAGCAACCCCAGGATTTCATTTACCTTTTTTTGTTGTTTTTGGACCTCTACTGTGTAGAATTTTCATGGTACCATCCTCTAGAACCCCACTGTCCCCTCTTGAAGGAGTAATGGTCAGATCACAGTCTGTCATTCTATTTCAAATCAGAACTAGTTTTCCCCTCGCAGACACACAAATTTAGCTGGATCAGCACTTTGGTTTCTCAAACGTCTCTATTTTTTCCCCACTGTCTGTTCTCAGATGGGCAATGTTGAACAGCTTTCTGTTATTAGCAAACTTGGTCTTCTCACCCCTTTTTCCATATCCAGATATTTAGACATCTAAATATGGATTTGGACACAAACAATTAGAGACAAGTTTGAAGATTACTTTGACTAAAGCTTCAAGGGCAGAAATCTTCAGGATTGAGGAAAATAAGCACCCTGAATCATAACTGAGTTTTATATGGCTATAGCATCTTTTCCTACTTATTCAGAAGAATGCAACTGGAAAAATTAAACCAAAAAACAAGTTGCTCCTTAGGATTATTAACAGAAGGCCAAAAAATATGTAAGAAATGGCCCTTCGTGGCATCTGCCAGCCTCACCAGGACATCCTTTCTTTGCTTCTCCGTGCTCTCGAGTTTCCTTTCCAAAGACGCCACTTCTTGATGTAGAGTCATAGCTTCCTTCTTTAGAGACTCTTCAGAGGCTGCTAGCTGAGATGTCAACTCTTCCACCTCAAGTAGAACAATAACAAAGCAGTCAAAGACTACAGCTTGTCACTGTTAGCCCTACATATACGGTGAAGAAAGGGAAAGAACAACTTTAAAGTTCACCCTATCATGAGAGTACCAGATTCACAATGGATACAGCTGACTTGTTTAAAAATCGAAGTGGGTCACCATATTCCTCTGAAAAACCACCTTAAAAAACAAGGCTAGCAGTAAGAGGCCAGCAGAAATCCATTCTGATGATTGCTGGCAAACAGCCAAAAGGACTAGCCCCTCTGTGCAGGGCAGCAGCTGAGATTCAGCTGACCAGTAAGTCTGCTTCAGACCAGCTGAGAGAGGCCACAGTCTGATGGCAGTCAGAGGGATTACCCCATCAGCCTGCTCTGCAATGGAAAGGCAAGAAGGGGAGAGACCACCTGTTTGATGACGGGAGTTATCTACTGCTGTTTCAGTCACCTGTTTTTGTAGACCATCCCTCTGCTGAAGAAGGATATTCATTTCCTCTTTGATGGTTTTGATTTCTTCTTTGTGCCTATTCTCCACTGCCTTGATCTTACGCTGAGTTTCCTGCAGCTCTGCTTGCAGCTTTTCTGTGATGTTCTGTGAACACAAAGGGAGAGAGCAAGTTACTGGGACCTGCCGTCAGTTTCAGCTTTTTCCTCTTTCTGTCTCAAAATGACATTCCTTCAGCCGCTCCTTTCTGCTTTTCTACCCAGCTCTGCTTCCACTGTCACCCTTCCTCCCTGTTGCTGATCTCTGGAGCTTACCAGGCTCTTCTGTGCTTTCAGTGCCTGCAGTAGTCCTTACCTCCTCAGTCCCTGGACTTACATTTTATTTCCTTGTTACTGCCCTTCACTCTGTTACCTGGCTCTCTCAGTCTCTCCCTCAGCTTATGTCCAATTGCCAACTGCCTGTTCTTTCAACCTGCCCTACTAGTCAGACTTACCTGCCCATTATCTTGCTGCTCTTTCATCCCCTGCCTGAGCTGCTCTAGCTGCTGGCAGGCTTCTCTTAGCTCTCCTTGAGTTTGGAGTAGCATCTCTAAGAGAGCATCCTTCTCACTCTCCTTTTCTAGCAGGACCTGCACAGAAATAAAGACAAGACGGGCTTAAACTTCCCATACAAAATTTGTGTGGCAAGACCCCAATACTGATGGGCTCAGACATTCTCAGAGGACTATGCTGCTGGTCTCCTAGGTCATTATCTGCCCACTTGGAGACACAGCTTCCTAAGTGAGACTGGCAGTATAAACACAGTCCATCCATGGTCCATCTGTGATTGACATTCCAATAAACTCTTAGTCATCTAACAGGAAAATGTGTGGCATTTCTCAAGTGTCTCATCTTGCTGGTGAGGGTATCCCTTGTCTTCTGCTGTGTCCCATTTGTCTTTCAATAGAGACTTTTGCACCGAGTTAACAGTAGAGAAAATGCAAGGCTGCCAGAGGGCTGAAGCTAGCAGCTCCTTCAGAAAACTCCTGTATGCTAAGAGGGGTTTGGTGAAAATGCCTTCGGTTTTAAGGTATTCTATAGACTTTGGTAAAGTACTGACATTACAGGCACACACTGTCATCTCTGAGCACTGCCCTGTCACTTCAATACCTGTAGACACAGTTGGGGGTACCGTCTGCATAAAGAGGACTTTGGGTAGGACATAAGGAGGACTCTCAGTATATGACAGGGTTGCTTTGGCACAGGAGATCTGGGCACAAAATAGCTTACCAGCAAGTGACTTAAAACACAGCCCAGAAGTCACCTCTGTTTTACTGCTCAGAAATATTTCAGAGGAGTCTTTAAAAAGATTTTTCTTTTGGCAACAATCCTGCTGCACCCCTCCCCGTGCCCCCCAAACAAAAACCCCGTCCTCGTGGGGGTTCAGTCCTACAAACTCTGTTTGGTCCTTAATGGAGTTAAGGCTATAAACACGTATCAATAAACATCAAAAGAGGACCGTTAAGACAACGGTGAAAATACTCTGAGGTAAGTCTTAAAAAAAACCAGAATACAATAGCAGCACAAAAATCTAAAATGAAAGGTGACATTTCTACCTGGCTTCCTATGAGAGGTCTCATTCCTAGTCCCAAAGATAGCCCTGCACACCTTTCACCTCACCAAATTCCATGCAGAAAATATGTAGGGCATGCTCTACACAGCCCGATATCCAGCCACCTCCCACAGCTCTAGCCTTGCAAAAAAACCCAAACAAATTCTCCTTTCACAGTCTTTACTTCTTGCGTGGCATTTTCGACTCTGGTTCGTTCCTCCTCTTGTTGAGCTTGCATGGTAGCAACTTTCTGCTTCATATCTAACAGCTTCTTCTCGTGCTCCCCTTCGGTCTCTGCCTTCTCCTTTTCCCATCTGTCCAGCATCTCCTGCAGCTCTGAATGGTGCCCTTCACGCTCGCTTGCCTGATGAGTAGAGAAAAAGACTTCAAGATGGACTCCCAAACAAGCTCCTCAAAAAAATGTGACGCTTCGTCCCTCCCACAACCCCCCACCTGAACAGTGCACAGTAGTGGCTTTGTGCCCTCCGCAAATCACGTCCAATCGAGAAAAGGAGCTGCGACCTTTCCCTCTCTGATGGTCGCCTGTTTCCTAGCACCACTCTCTTCAGGATTTCTCTCGATTCTCAGAGTCTCCATTTTCAAAGCTTACCTCCCTTTTCATCAATGAAAAGGTGCAGGTGGACTGCAGGGTGAGAAAGAGACCAGTACCCTGATGTCCTAGTTACAAGACAGGCCACAAACTGAAGTACCAGGAACAAGGGGCCTGTTCTATGTGCTTCAAGGCCAAATTCAAGCCCATACCTCTGTCAACCATGAAAGCACAGAACGAAAGGAACAAAGTTTCCATGACTGCAGTTCGCAGCAATGTTAGGAGTCTACTTCATGGTAGACAGGAGTCTGGTAAGATCCTACCCCTTTGCTGCCATGCTTTGGGTGGGGACCACGCAACCTTCTGTCAAACTCGTCTTACGCCCACACTGAATCTGTGGCTGCATTTACTGTCCCAGCATCGTCCTGTGGGTCTTCATGTGTCTTCAAGTATGAGCCATTGGCTCTGCTGCCCGGCCTAGCAACATGTGGCCTATGACAGACGACTGCTGCCAGTTCACACGCTCAGGCTATTATTCTTCTAAAGCCAGCCCACAAAGCTTGCTTGAAGAATTCAGAAGTATATTGTTTCCTACCAGGTCTTGCAGGAGCTTGTTTATTTCCACTTCATGATCAGTTTCCTGAAGTTTGAGGGTACTGTTATACTGCTGTTCTGTCCGCAAGAGCTGTTGCGCCATGTTTTCCCATTCCTGCTTCATGAGGGATCTCTCCGCTTCCAGCTCACACTGAAGGCACTTCACTTCCCCTGCAAATGTGACAAATGACAAGATTCAGAATTTACACAAACAATGGTTCTGCCTTTACTGACCTTAAGCCATTTGAATTTCAGTGTAGGAGGGATCTGCTTCTACCTCCTTCACTCCTCAGGAGCACTGTGGACAGAGGGCTGTTTTTATACCACCTTGCCTAGGCAGGGGGATCACCAGAAACAAGGCTCTCACCTTGTATCACCTCCTTGGCCTGCATGACTGCGTGAAGTTGGATTTCAAGCTGACTCCTGCTGATCTCCAGCTGAGATAAACGCTGCTGAGCCTCAAACAGGCTGGATTCCATGGTCTCCTTCACTGACCTGCAAGTTGTGAATACGGAGAGAAATTAGTCTCTTGCTCCCGACACCCACAGGGAGTCTCTCCAGTAAGAAGCCGTCCAAGATCCCTCCACCAGACTATGGAAAATGGGTAGCATGGAAACCTGTATAAAGAAAATACATTGCTACTGTTTAAAATAGCAGTGCAGGCCCCTCCGAGGGAACGTCTAGGGTTTCCTTATGACCTAGCATAACACAGAAAGCCCAGCCAAATTTGATCTCAATAGCCAAACTTTAAATTGCTGTTGTCTGATCTATGACATGCAGGTAGCTGTGCTCACAAAGTCTGTTCCAGCAAGCAAAAGCCCGGTCTCTGCTCACAGCCCTTATCTCATCAGCACTTCCAAGTTCCTCTGCAGGGGGACAGAATAAGAGTATCTCCCTGGCTGACTCGTGGCTTTTTAATACTGTTCATAGTGTAGGTATAGGTAGGTAATTTTCCAAACTCTCTATATTTAAAAGGGACTAAAGAAATACCTCAGATGATACAGTAAAATCTCATGCTTGTAGCAGCATTTGTAAGAAATGAGAACTAGATTTTATCTGAACAAGAACCATCTGACAGGAGAGACAGGTATCCTTCGGTTTAAGCTGTTGGAAGTTCAAGAGAAAAACTTGCTACCTTTATTTAAGTGTTGCTAACTAAGTAGGCAGTAGCCCAAATGACCTGTCATTCTTTAAAAGGGAAGGTGCTGTACTGCAGATGCAAACTGTTACATCCATAGACTTCAAACAACTGGTGCATGTGACACACAGGATTCTGGAATCAGGAGCTGAAGTTACCTCCCTGACCTAACACAGCGTCCTGTGTGCCAGTTTCCTACACTACACAGCACTGCCTCACTCCTACAGGGGTGCAATCAGGGTAACATCCTTCAAGGTAGAGGGGCACCTGAGTGGTACAACAATAAAACCCACAGGAGAAGGATTTCACTACTTTGGTGGACAATGGAGGATATATCTTCAAGAAGGAGAACAAGCACGTATTTCTAATCGTACCAATCTCTGGCAGTCCAAAGTAAATATGCTCCATTTTAAGGACAAATAGAAGTCAGTCTCTAAAACAGAACAGAAAGGATAGAGTCCAAAACTATGACAACAAAAGGCTCTTGAGAACAACATCTGTCACGAATAGTTGCTGATTTTTGGTTATCTATTGCCAAAGGTTCTTCAGAAATCATTTATCCCTTTTTAAAAAAATAATTTATCCCTTAAAAAAAAAAAAAAGGAGGAGCTGAATATTTAATAATCTCATATCAGCCCAATAATTGACCAAACATAATTCAGCTGGATCAAATAAGAGAAGCTGGAGCTCAGAAGCAGCAGCAGATCTCGAGAAACACACTGAGTCAAAATGGTGTTTATAAGCCTTGCTAACAACATACTCTGGAGTGGTAAAGCGTAAAAGTCAGGAAGTGTGACAAACTATTTCTAAAACATCATTTGTACAGCTCTGCCACCTCAGCAGGTTTCTAAACAACACCTAAGAGGAGGACAAAATCTCTATACTTTTTTCCTTTTTTTTTT